CCACTAGGGCTTTCGTGAGAACCAGGCTTCTGATAACACTGAGAACATTTTATAAAAAAACACAGCTGCTTTAAGCTTCATCATATATGCGAGTGCTTATATTAACACAATGGCCTTTACGACCCAAACCAGACATATTTCGATAGGTCAACTACCATAATCAGTGAAGAGATTTCACACCTGCAACGTATATATGAATAATAATAAACAATACTAGGCATGACCATAGTTTATGAATTAAACCGTAATAACAAGTAAAACAATAATGAATAAAGATGAAGCAGAATAACAATTTATTATTCACTTGCTATTGTTATTTTGTTTCACCTTTATTCTTGATTCATCAGCTATTCAATCGTTAGTGATTTTTATAGTGTATATCAATATTTGTAAGGTTAACCAATTTCCTTTCTGTTATTCTCAGTTTACATTTTTCTGAAGACGCACCACTTGTTTAAGTGCCGCCGATGTAAATGGGGAGAAAGTAAAGTAAAGTAACATGTGATGAAAATGTATTAACTGATTGATTACAATGTGAGATGCAATCAGTTTATTTGTGTATTCATCCGTATTCTGTTAAGACAGACACAGCATTAAATTTTCATCATCAAATCAATTTTTCGCTAAGGTCTGTTATACAGTCATAATTACTATTCGCATGTAAGTAGCGCCAGTAATGATCACAGTTCATGTCACGTATCGCATTTTACATTGACTAACAACTTGATAAGAAAATGGACAAGAACATAGATCTATAGTGTAAACCAGATCTTTTGGATAGTATTTTGCCATTGTTTAGTGCTATGTAGTATTAATTTATATATCAAATCAAGCAAATCAAGTTGCTATGTAGATAAATAATAATGAATAATGATAATAATAATAATAATAATAATAATGATCAAATAGGAACATGTCGTATCGAGCATAGCTCATCAACGACAAGTTAGTTTATTTCAGTTGTATGAAAAAAGGTGTCTCTGGCGGGATTCGAACATGTAACCTCTCTCTGCTAAGGCGAGTATCATATCTATTAGATCACAGAGACCTATAGTATATCGTGCAGTTCTAACCCACCAGGCACTACTGTATATACACCTACATACAGGCTTGTATAGGCCTTTACCATTATCTTTTAGTGGTTAGATAATATTATTACGCAAATGACAAGGGTTGGTGTGTACGGAAAGCGTGTTTGTGGGTATGTATCTGGGTATGTGATGCAGAATGTGTGTCCTGGCTGTCTGAATACCGTAGGCGGTTTTCTGGAGTCCATTGTGAACGTGACGTGTATTAGTGGGCTACATCCCAGTCATAAGATTGAAAAGTATGTTTACATTGTACTAGAAAACTGACAAGATGAATGTGACCAGCTTGCTGGGTGTTCTTTGGTCAGAAACATGATGTCTCTCCCCACTTACGGTTTCAAGTGTGAGCCTAGTATGCTGTCGAATGTCGCTGATCTCACGAACCCATGAGCACAACTTCACGGGTGCGGCACTCGCATAATTCTAATACAAATAATTTTTGGACAAATGAAAGCAAAGCGCAACTGGATTGGTAAACACTTAAGTAATAACAAGTTGATGGCACTAAAAGGGCTCTGGCCTTAGTAAATATGACCCAAGACAAGTTTTCGGTGATTATTTATATTGAGACGACTTAGGCACATGGGACGCCAACGATGAAATAATAGCACCAATTTACAGACATGGAACTACAAATTAATTTGATTGTTACCGGATTAGCAAACATTTCACATTGATTAACAATTATTCTCTAATCAATACTTTATTTAGGTCTTGTGAAGTATACTCCTCGTTTTAGTTACTTCCGTTTAAACTTCTTCTACAGGACCATACGTTCTCCGGCTATTGTTCCCATACAACCGAATAAAATTTTAAAATAAATAAATTAAAAAATCATATTTAATTTTACCATATTATAATAATCTAATAACTATAATAACTGTATTGATAATAATAATAATTATTATTACTATCACTATCATCATAATGACATGGGCGGTGGATGCAATTAGTGATTGGTTAGGCACCTCCACACACACTCGGAAACAACATTAACAACCTTTAAAATGTGTTTTAGGTGTACCGTATGTTGCCAGTAGAAGTTAGGCTGTTAAATAAGATATACAAAATTTGGTTTCCAAAATTGGGAAACAGTATGCTATAATTTTAACCCCAAAAAATTATATGCAATATACAAAACCAATTATGGGGTCTACATATTGTAATGATAATAAAATATCATGCACTCTCATAACAGACTGAGAAAAGCAATGTTGATATCGTTGTTTATTTGGGTTTTTGTAAGCATTAGGAATTTCTGATGATTTTCTAACAAAAAGGGAAATTTTAATCGATATGACAATCTCATACAAAGTTAAATTTAAGTAAAATAAGTCTGTATGTTTCATCACAAGATAATTTAATTGAAACACCTACACTATTTGACTCAGCATCTTGAGAAAAAAAAGTAACTTATCACGAAGTGAAGAAAATTGATTTAAACGCTCTGAAATAGAATCTGATTTTGAGCATTTTCAGATCAATATTAGCATATTAAAATAATTATTGTTATAAAAGAAAATTCATCTGTAACGTGTCAATATAATTATGTTTGATTGAAGTTAATGATTAAAATTAGTGAAAATGGCCAACATCTGTTTTCTGACCCGACGGTCACAACGACTACGAGTGCTTTAATAATTATTGAGGGGAACCTTTCATTCTTTCTTTCAATGGCCTGTGAAACAGAGCCTCACACACACACCCCGTAAATGCTCTATTTCTCTATTCTCTATTTTAAAAAAAACAATACCGAAAGGTCCACTGATTAATCATAGATAAGAAAGTATAATACATACTCCAAGTATTGAAATACACGCCATCGTGTTGGGATTCAATATTTCGACATTAATTATTTCGACATCATTCCTGATGATGACATAATTAATGTCGAAATATTGAATCCCAACACGATGGCGTGTATTTCAATACTTGGAAAAACAATACAGTAACTGAGTTTAGAAAGGTATAATTAGGGCCCGTGTAACAGAGCCTTCCAGACACACCCCGTAAATTCAGCCTGTGCACGATCGACTGTCGATAGCTTGGACTAAACTCACGGAGGCAAAATTCCTTGTGAACAAGCAAATCGGGCTTCAGAAGAACTCTATTTACAAAATGATACAGTAAAATTTGGAAAGATATAATTAGGGCCTATTATTATATTATAAAATATTACTCTATTGTTAAACATAATGTTTATCTCAGCACATTAGCTCTTTGGGTGAGCGCCTGACTGCCAGAACACTTCGGCCGCCTATGATAATTTTTAAAAGTATTTGATGAAGTCATCGTGACTATGACGACTATTATTTGTCACCGAAACTGAGATCATTCATATCAGATCATTTAGGTAGAATCGGGTGAGCGGACCACGGTTGTGCCGTCAACTTATCAGAGAACTACTTACTACTAAATCCGTTTAGAAGTTGTATCGATTTTCTCTGTAGAACACATAGATTTAGGGATCCAAGAAGTGATACAATCAATCGTGGAAAACACGTGCAGAAATGGATTTTAATCTTTTTGGCGGCTCATACAAACCCTTGAATTGCGAAGGAGTTCAGTTTTAATCGTGCCAATACATTCAGAACGATTGGCGCATCGTGACTGCCAATTTAGCAGACGTGTGTTAAGTTGCATTTATTTCATCAAAACATTGATCCTGATTGATTAATGTGAAGGAATAGAGCAACGTCGGTATTTTCACAATATTAGTTAAGCCTACCTGATGTAGCGTTCTACTGATCACTCACTCATTACTCTAATCGCTCAACATTGAATCGTAACGTTTTCTGCTAAGGCATGTTACGTGGAGCTCCACTCGTATTTGTGCTTATAACATGTGTGTGTGCCCAAGGTGTTGACAATGCTCCTCCCGAATTAGACGCACCCCCGGGACGGTTGTTTCGGCTAGACCCAGTTGAGGTAAGAATAAGAACATCTGACTTTTCACCTAGAAAACCCGACCTTTTTGCTCTGCTTTTCAATGTAGGCTTACACATTAAGTTACGACAAGATGTAACAACAAGGTTCAATAGAAACGAGACCGTTACCAAGTTTATTTTATTGACTTATATTTTGGTTTATATTCGTCTAATTTTGTATTTTGATTTATAAGGTAGTGTAATACTGTACTGTACATTACATAAAAATACTGTTGCTCTTTAGATATTGATTGATTGATGGATGGCAAAAAATATTACACAATTTTGAAAAAAATAAGCAAAAAATTGCTTGCTTAACCTAAAATTCCTAGAAAGGTAACTTCATTTCTATCATAAGCATTAACTATTTTGTAAGAGGTGTCAATGCATTGTAAAGTAGATAAACTTACATGGAAGGTAATATAAAGAAGCTGCGATAGGACGCAATTACCTTGTGGCGTAGTGGTATTGTTCCTATTTAAAACTAGTTGTAGGCCTATTCCAGCGGCGTAGAAAAGTATTTTTCATTGTGGGGGGGGGGGGGGGGATTGAAAATGGGGGGGGGGGGTGATTGAAAATTCTTGGAATTGACATAAAATTACTGATGTCGTTCACACCCTTCAGTGTGAAAATGTGGCTTGCTTTGCAAGCACATCTAACATCTAAGGAAAGAAGAGCTTAGATTGGCACCAGATTGAATAATTTTATCAACATTAATACATTATGCTAATTTTCATCTTTGTAAGCGCATAAGACATTGCAAATTATTTCTGTGACAGTCTTTTGAAGTGTGTAAAGCTCCATTTTATCCCATACATAGTCAACATATTTGGGGGGGGGGATGATACAATGGACCACCCCCCCCCCCTCCATCCTCCATCACCATCCATGATGCCGTCACCGTACAAAACCTGATTAGGGGATTCTGATCAGATGATTGATGGCTGGTGCTGTCACCAGTATGGAAGTGTATCAGCATTTTATTTGTCATCGAAACTGATCACTTAGGTAGAATGGGCTTGAAATTCATAGCTTCTACTAAACACATGTGGTTTAACCATGGTTTAACTGTGTTACTGTTGAACGCTAACCTAAACACTTAACACTTCTTAATTATTTCTAATTTTTTCACCAATTTTACGTTTGTCATGTTTTAGTATTTCTATATTGCGTAGAATCCTCTTCTTTTTGCCTATAATTCTGTTTAATCGCCATCCGTTCAAGCTTTATAGATTCTTGATGTCTTTTGAAATCCATGGTTTGAAGTTTCGATTTAGATTTGCTGGAGAAAAGGTATTTCGATGTCTATTCAATATTATTATGTAAGAATTGCATAAAATGTCAGTCTGTAAGCCTAATGTAAAAAATGTATTTAATAATTAAGAACAAATATCGCGCGCTGTGTCTTTTTATGTGCCAATGACGTTGTAGCTTGATGCATGATGTATTTTATATGGATGCGCACAATATGCCATAGTAATGTAAAATTAATCCATGTAAAATGAGAAATTAAGATGAATTTAAACACTGAGAGGATATAGAGAACAAAACAAGATTATGAATGTATTGTTGTTTAAGATTAAAGACTGCTTCAGCATTTTGTTGATCTCTCTTCAGCAGTTTTCCAGTTGCTTAAATTCACGTCTGCACACTTCACTGCGACAACTGAGATATTTAATACAGCAAATATTGTTATAAAAATTCTCATCAGTATACTCAATCATTATTAGTTATATATTATAATTATATATATGTATATATATGTAGGCCTATATATATATATATATA